GATGAAATTATGGAGGCTGAGAAATCCTACGATCTGCTGTCTGCAAGCTGGAGACTCAGAAAAGCAAGTGATGTAGTTCCAGAGAGACCTCAAAACCTGAAAAGAGTGGCCAATGGTGTAAGTCTGTCTAAGGACAGGAGAACACTGAAGCCTCAGCTCAGGCAGTAAGGCAAAGAGGAAATTCAACCCTCGTCTTCCTTTGAGTTCTATTAGGACCCTCAATAGATTGGATCACGCCCACCCATATTGAGGAGGGCAATCTGCTTTACTCAGTCTCCAAGTCAAATTCCCTCACAGAAACATCCCAAAATGATGTTTATCCAAATATCTGGGCACTCTTTGACCCAGACAAGTTAACTCATAAAGTTTAACCACCATATCTATATTTGTGTGTGTGTGAGTATATTTAAGTGTATATACAAGATGCATAAATATATATTAGCATATATGTACCCACACATGTATAATGTGTGTGTATATATACACATATATTTATATTTATATATACATGATGTACTCTTTGGCTATATAATACATTTTGTGATAAAAAGAAAAAATAAAAGTAAATGTGTACCATATGATTCAGCAACCCCTACTCTAGGTATATATCCAAAAGCATTGAAAGCGGGTCTTGAAGAGATATTTGCATATCCGTGATTATAATCTCACTATTCACTATGGCCAAGAGGTAGAAGAAACCCCAATGTCATCAATGGATGAATGGATAAGCAAAATATACTATGTGTATATACAATAGAATATTATTCAGCCTGAAGGGGGAGGAAATCTTGTCACATGGTACAACCTTGAGGATATGATACGAAGTGAAATAATTCAGTCACAAAAGGACAAACACTGTATGAGTTCACTTATGTGAGTTATCTAAAAGTAGTCAAGCGTCACAGATAAAGAAAGTAGAAAAGGGTTTGCCAGGAGTTGGACGGAAGGGACAAAAGGGAAATTGATTTTTATTGGACACAGGATTTAAATTCTTCAAGATAAAAAAAAAGTTTGGGACTCTATTTCACAACAATGTAAGTTTACTTAATACTAATGATCCAAATACAGTCATCCACCACATAAGGATGTTCAGGTCAATGATGGGACACAGTGGTCCCATAGACTCTAAAGGATCTTAAAAAGTCCCATCACCTGGTGACATCATAGTTGTTACAAGGTCATAGTGCCAATACACTCTATGGTATTGGCACCACAGTGAAATCACTTAAATTCCACCATTTCTCAGAACATATTCCCATTGTTTTAAAAAAATGACTGTATTTAGAAATGGCTAAAATTGTAAATGTTATGTATTTTTTACCACAATAAAAATCTTTAAGCAAATATTCAAGGCATATTTTTCACTTCAAAATAGTAAACTAAACATATATCTTTGTGAAACTATATTAAAATGTTAATAAAGAAATTATTAGACCTTTTTATTTTGGAATGATTTTAGACATACAAAATGTAGAAAAAAGTACATTTTTTGTGTGTATGCTTTTCTCAGCTTCCTCTAGTGTTGGTAACCTCCTAGTTTAATTATCAAACAAAAATATTAACATGGTAACAGTTTCTTTAACTAAGCCACAAACTTTAATTCTATCAGTTTTTCCCCTGAAGTCCTTTTCCTGCTCAGGACATAATCAGGAATCCCATGTTGCTTCCTTACTGTTTTCCACATAATCTATAGCAATTCCTCATTTTTTTCCTTGTCTTTTATGTTCTTGACCAAGTAGTGGTCAATTATTTTGAAGAATATTGCCTAAGCAGATTTGTTTAATTTTTCCTTTAATTATGTATTAAGCTTTTTTCCCAAGAATTAGTAATGTTTTGTGTTTCTCAGAATGTATCAGAGGGTAAATGAAGTCATCTGTTATTACTGATGATGTTAACCTTGATCATTGGCTAAGACAATGTCTGCAAAACCTTTCCCTTCTAAAGTTACTATTAGTCCTTTCTTAATCAATGGATATAGTTTTGAGACTTTTATTGATATCCTCAAACTTCTGTTCAGTGATTTTATCATTCCTCTTTCTTCGGGAATCATACTGCTATGTTTGCCTAGTAATGAATTTGTATTTTCTGCATACCTTCTGCCATTGTTAATTAGAATTGTCTGTAGGGAAGACCTATCTCTTCTCTCCATTTATGTATTTATTTGATTATTTATATCTGTATGGACTCAATAATATTTATTTTACTTCCTTGGTTAAAATACAACATTGAAGTTGCATATTTTATCATTCAAATTTCATTTAACATACCCTCCTCCTTTTTCCTTCCTTTCTTTCTTTTGTTGTTGTAGTTGTACTTCCTTATTTTCTGGTCCCATGAGATATTCCATTCTCATCTTATTCTCTCTCCCCTAACTCTTGAATCCATCACTTTTCCAAGGGACTCTGGTTCCTTTCTATTGTAAAATAGTATCTATAAACCAAGATTTTGCAATAGGTGTTCTAACAGCTAGGGAGTTATTTACTGTAAGGCCTTCTCAAAAGACAAAGCTAGGAAATATATATATATAAATATTGACCCATGCATCTATACTTATTTCACTTTTTATCTATTGACCATCCATCTATCTCCTACTCAAAATCATGAGCACATATTGGTCCCTCTGATTCCAATCCAACACCATGAGGTTGGTTCTGTGCTTTTCCCTCTTTATTCACCTCTGACTTCCTCCAACAGTGGGAGATCCTTCTCTCAACATCTACCAGAGACTCACTTCTCTGTCAATACTAGTATATTCAAAGAGGTCGCACAATTGATAAACTGTGCCCATAAAAAACAAATGTACAAACTGGATAACAGAATTTTCATCCAATTCTTTTCATCTTTCATCTCATGGTATCCAAAGTGCTATTTTCCAAAGTTATCCAGGCTGGTTTTTTGCCTCTCCACACACTTCAGTATGGCTATGACCTTCATTTGTTGTACAGTCACGTCCATCTGCATGGACTCCATCCCATTGGGGTTTCTCATGTTAATTTTAGCTACTTATTGGAGGACAGGTGCATAAGTGGAACATTAGCATGGCTCCAAGAGCCCAGCCTTTGTAAAAAAAACACACTCTATTCCTATTAACCCATTCCCATTCACTCCTTCCCATACCTTTTCCTCTTTAGTCTCTAAGTCATCTTTTTTTAATTCCTTTTTGCATAAATGTGTTGTTTTGTTGTTGTTGTTTGGGGGGGTTGTTTGTTTTATGTCTTCTTTTTTTAATTTTTTATTTGTTTTAATTATTTATACATGACAGTAGAATGCATTTATACACTTTGATATGTCATACATAAATGGGATATAATTTCTCATTTTTCTGAGTGTACATATTGCAGAATCATATTGGTCATGTAGTCATATATACACATACAGTAATAATATCTGTTTTATTCTACTATCTTTCCAATCCCCACATCCCCTTCTCTCCCCTCCTGTCACTTCCCTCTATCTAATCTAAGGTAATGCTATTCCCAAGAAGTAAAATTAAGAATCAACAAATAGAATGGATTCAAATTTAAAAGCTTCTTCTCAACAAAGGAAACAATAACATGAGAAGAGAGCCTATAGATTGGGAGAAAATCTTTACCACATGCACCTCTGATAAAGCATTAATCTCTAGGATATATAAAGAACTCAAAAAACTTAACACCAAAAAAAAAAAATAACCCAGTCAATAAATGGGCTAAGGAACTGAACAGACACTTCACAGAAGAAGAATACAATCAATCAACAAATATATGAAAAAGTGTTCAACATATCTAGCAATTAGAGAAATGCAAATCAAAACTACTCTAAGATTTCATCTCACTCCTGTCAGAATGGCAGTCATCAAGAATATAGGAAACAATGTTAGTGAAGATGTGGTGAAAAAGGTACACTCATACATTGCTGGTGGGACCGCAAATTGGTGCAACCGCTATGGAAAGCAGTATAGAGATTCCTCAGAAAATTGGGAATGGAACCACCATTTGACCCAGCTATCCTTGGTCTATACCCAAAGGACTTAAAAACAGCATACTACAGAGACAAAGCCACATTAGTGTTTATAGCAGCTCAATTCACAATAGCTAGACTATGGAACTAATCTAGGTATCCCTCAATAGATGAATAGATAAAGAAAATGTGATATATATACTCAATTGAATATTACTCAGCTTTAAAGAAGAGTAAAATTATGGCATTTGCAAGTAAATGATTGGAGACGGAGAATATCATGCTAAGTGAAATAAGCCAATCCCACAAAACCAAAGGCCAAATGTTTTCTCTACTTTCTTACTCTTTTACAGGAGCAGAATAACCATGCTGCAATTTATTCAATCTTTCTTTACTGTACTCAAATTTAGGGGGCTTCTTCTATCTTGCAATTACAAAAAATACTGCAATAAATGATGTTGGTATATGTATTTTTGTGTTTTGGAAAAGGATATCTTCATGGTGTATTTCTATAAGTGGGATTTCTGAGCCAAAAACCAAGTGCCAGTGTAGTTTTGTTACGTATTTTTACCAACTTGCCTTCCGAGAGAGTGACCAGGGTTTCTTCTCTCCAGAAACTTGGGTGGAATTGTCTGTGCCTTCATGGCCTCACTAGCATATTAATATACTCCTTAATTTTTCTCAGTCTGATAGTGAGAACATGTATCTCAGCATTGTTTAAATGTGCATTTCTCTAACTGTGAGAGAACATGAACATCATTCACATGTTTGAGAGTTGGTTATATATTTTTGGGTCTGTTGATATTTTTTCTGTAACTTTTCCAAATCTTCTCTCTCTCAATTTCTATAAGTTCTATATGTCTTTGTAGCATATGTGCATCATAAATATTTTTTATAAGTGGTCAGTTGTCTTTCAGTTTTGTTTAAACTGTGATTTTGTCCTGAAAGTGTGGTGTGTGTGTGTGTGTGTGTGTGTGTAAATTTCTCTTTACTTTTATTGACCTGGATCTTCAGTCACAGAGAAGTTTTCCCTTTCTTTTCAAATAAAAAGAAGAACTTACCCATGTTTTCTTCCCATGCTTATCTGCTTTTCTTTTTCACATTTAAATTCCTAACCCTGTTGGGATTTGTTGTTGTGTATGCTATGAGGTGGTATGGGTCCAATTTAATCTCCTTCCAAGTGGCCACCCAGAGATCCAGCACCATTTAGTAAACAGTCCAGCTTTATCAGTGATCAGAGATCCCACGGAATAAAGTAATTTTTAAATCTACAACAATAAAGAGATTATGAGAACCATGAGCAGATAAAAAATTCAAAAGAAATTTATTTTAAAAAGCAAACAGGGTATTGACAGATGAAGCCAAGCAAAGGAAGCTGGATCCTAGAATACGTGAAGAGGAAGGATATTTGATAACGATTTTCAAAAAGTCAACACATCAAAACTATACAACAATCTTAAATGTGTATCCACTGCAGTGTTTTTGACTGGTTTTCTAATCTAACCAAAGTTCTATGGCTCTCATTTAACACAAGAATTGGATTGGAAAATCATTTCTTTATTTGTTCTTCTGGAATTGTTTTCCATTTCAACCCACAGGGCCAGAGGCACAATGCAGAGCTGCCAGCCACATCTACAGTAACATCCTGACATCCCTGACAAAGTTTAGGTCCTTAGAAAACAGCTGGGTATGGGATTAATTCAATTCTTCCAGCTGTGAGTTTTTATCTTTTGCTTTTGGCTTTTTAAAATTTTACCAATTCATTTCCATTCTCCCAGAAAAGCTTCAGATACTCAAAACATCAATTTGTTTTAAAGACAGTGGTTCTGAAAACTTTTTTTTTAACTCTGAAAGACCATGAAAAGCAAGTAAATCAGTTGCTGGCTACCTTTCATTAGTCATTCAATTTCACATCCGTCCTGAGCACTTCTCTTGCTTCCTACCCTACAGAAGTACTGAGAAATAAATCATTTAATTTAATAAACACTTGGTGCTAATTGCAAACTGGATGATGAATTTTCTATAAGTAGGATCTGTTTGACATTTAAGAAGTGCTCCAGAATCCACTTTTAAGGTGTGCATGAGGTGGGTAAACTAACTAGCTAGGACTCATACCGAAAAGATTTATCCATACCCTGAGCTGTGGGAACCAGTGAGCCAGCCAGTCTTCATGTTTATGAAATGTCTTTCCTCCAGGGAGTTCTCCTCACATTCATTATCTCATTAATCACCCAACTATTCCCTTGGAGAAAAGAAAGTGGGGAAACATGACTTCTATTAGCTCTTTGATTCCCAGGAGGAAATAGTGAAGCTTAGAGAGAAAAAATGATTTCCTCATCTGTAAAATGAGTCCTCTGGCTCAGTCCATGCCTTTTACCCCAGGTACTTGGAGAGGATAAAAAATTTGAGAAGTTTCTTTCCTCCTTAGGAAAAATAATTACATCTGGCTAGTCAGGCAAATTACTGGAGGTTATACCACTATGATTTAAGTGAGAATTTTAATGAAATTGAAAATACTCTGTGCAAGAACCTATTGCCATTTGTGGCTACTGATATTTTTTCTAGGGGGTCATTGTTTTGATCCCAACCTATGAAGCTTCTAGTTTAGGTACCTCTCAGAGGTATTGACACATTTTTTATACATATAAGGGAATGAAATTGATTACCATTAAGAGAATATCATCTTTGCATAAAATTATATTTAATCCTGGCAACAATCAGAGGAAGAAGGCATTGGAAGAAAAAAGTTACCAAGGATATGACAGCCAAGTAGATGGCAGAGCTGAGATTTGAATCCAGGCCTCTTAATTCTTAAATACATGTTCTTTCCAATACATGAAAAATTCCCCAGAAATAATATGTTTCATCTCAACTTCAGTTAATCTAGATATTTTAAATAGTGTAATGTACAAAATGGGTGCCTATATTTGTTGCTTTGGAAATACTGTGTTTTGGAACAAGACAGGCACAATCTCAATGCTCATAAGAGGGATAAAAAGTGTCATTCTCTGAGAAAGGCAGCCCTGGAGAGGTTGCAGCTCGTAGGTGCTTTCTGAAAGATACATCACAATTGTCCCATGACCTGGAGTGTCTAGGGAAGAAGATACTGTATTTTTTAAATATCAAAAAAAAGAATAATTTTCAAGGTTGAAATGACTACTGTCATTAATTACATGTCAGTGATTACTGAGGATGGGATAGTGAAGCCTCAGCAGAAATTTAGAAAATGGCCCTTCCTCAGGTGATTCAACTCTGAGGAGCTGGGGAGCTGGGGAGGTGGGGAGAGATGAGCACCCCTTCAGGCAATCAAACCATGCCTTTGCGAAATTATGAAAAATGCAGCCTAAGATATTACAAATAGGTTACTCGCTCCCAGTCTGAAGTAGCCCCACGCCAAAGCCTGCAGGTTGACTAGTATAGCTGTACTTCAGTCTCATCCTCCCTTCTGGGCAACTGAAGCATTATCTCTACCATTGTAAGTAATGATCCAGCTCAGGAGCTATGACAGTACAATAATCTCACAATCCGGATTATATAAATCTGAATACAAATCACACTATTTACTGTTTAATCATATTAAACTCGTATGTCTGAGTCCACGTGTGCTGCTATAACACCATAATTTATAAAGAACAGTTATTATTATTTCTTACAGTTCTGGAGGCTGGGATGTCCATGATCAAAGCCCCAACAGGATTGTTGTTTGGCAAGGGTTGCTCTTTGCTTCCAAGATGGCACTTTGTTCTGTCATCCAGAGGCAAGGAACACTGGGCCCTTCTATGGTGGAAGGAGCAGAAGAGGCGTGCTGTCTCCAGTTCTTTGCAATCTCCAATAACCTCTCTGTTGCCTGCTGACTTCAATCATGTTATTTGCCTGGCCTCTAATGGCTCTTGAGTTTGCAAACCTTAAGCGCCTCCCTCTGCTCCAATCATTGTAGAGCCTAGTGACAAAAATCACCTTCTTGTTTATAAGAAACAATATGATCCTGTTTCCATAACAGAGAACCTTGGACACGAAATCTTCAGAAAAAAATCTATGGGCATTATACGTATTCTGAGGTGTGGCCTTCCTTATACATTTCACCAACAGGGCAAAAGCATACATTTTTCTAAATATAGGTATGTAACATACAAATCAATAAGGTTATATCTATTTTTATTAAATAATTAATTTACAAGCATTCTTGTTATTTGAACATATTTGGTTTGACATGTTAGATAATAAATTTGGAAGGAGTGAGAGATATAAGCAATATATTTCCTATTATTTTAAGTGGGAAAGATTATACTCTGCTTTAAGCCTATCTAAAACCCCAATAAATATTCCAGAATTTAACTAAATACTCTTAAACACCCAAGGACCCAAGGATTTCTCCATAAGTATATTACAAAACACCAACTAAGATAGGTGTGGTGGCACATGCCTGCAATCCCAGCTTCCCAGCCCTCAGGAAACTGAAGCAAAAAGATTGTGAATGCCAGGCCAGTCTGGGCCACTCAGGGAGATCCTAAATCAAAAAAGAGAACAAAATCCCAACTACATAATTATTTAATATTTAATGGGTTTTTAGTGGTCATGCTTTCATGTAATATGCAACAATACAATAAAGTATCCATTAGAAATTAGTTTTCTCTATGTAATGCACCAAGCATAAACTTTTATGCAAATTTAAAATTACTCTGTTTTAAAGTTATATAATGAATGTAATACCACTAAGTTAAATAAAATAAGCAAATATGGAAATACTTTTAAATGATTAACCAAATAAGGAATGGTTTGGGGAGAGAAAGATGGAGGCTGCAGTCAAACTTGGATGCTACTCAGGGGTTGAGGGAGGAAACTGGGAGTGATCTGGCAGAGAACCAGCGAAACCTCAAAGGCATGTTATGTTCAAGTCCGAGCTTCCTGGGGACAGTCTTCTCTTTTTGGTACTTGATACTCTAGAACCGGATGGCTATAAACAATTATCTGAAATGCTAGATAAAGTCATGGACCAAAACAAAGCCCAACTTGCACAGTCATCTTTGCATAATTCCAAATTTTTCTAAAGATCTGGCAATAGATTTAACGGCTCCTCTTCTTTCTTCTCCTGGGATTTAGAATGAGCATCCAGTTGAACTAGTTCCTGGCTTTTAAGTTGTTTGCACCATCCACCTCACTAAATCTAGCCTTCTTCACAAGATTTAGGATTTCTGCTTTGTGTTAATCACTTCCACAAAACCTTGGAAGTCAGCAATAAATGGCAGGACTAGTTTCTCTTACAGTCCATTCATTGTTTGTTATGATACATGCCAAATCCCGTTGATAAATGTGAAGACCTTCTGAATGTCAAAACTCTCCCATAAATCCTCTCTTGAAGCAGCGTTGCCTGCGTCGTCAGACCATATATCAGCTTATAAGCACCGCGTGCGGCATCACCATCTGCAAACAATAAGCCTTGAAGGCTGCAGTGTCTCCTAGGTCCAGAAGCTACAATAATGACACAATGCTGGAAGGCAAAAAGACCACTGCGATATCATCTCCATAATTGCCAACACTAGAAGGACATCTGGGAGCTTAGTCTATTATCAAAAGAGCCTTGTTTGCAAGTTTTCCATCCTTGTGTACTCCTTGATGAATAGAGACAGTTAGCTCCTCATGTAATCACTGAGCACTGCCTTGGTCACCCAGTCTTTATGAGCTGAATATCACATAACAGGCAATTCACTCTTCAATAGTCTCTAAAAGGCACTGGGGTTTTTGAAGTGTTGCACACCAGCAGAGGTTTCAGCCTAACTTCCCATTCACTTCAAAGCAGGACCAGCCTATTTTAGATGCTTTATGTTCTAGCACTTTTGTCTTCTTTTCCAAAATGAACTTACAAGGTGGCATTTGTATCCAAGAGAGCCCAATTATCATCAATATTAAAAAGTTGCTGTGCAGTTCAATCACCTTTGTCGGTAGTTTTCTGCAATCTGTGGGCGCGTGTATTTTCTTCGCAGGCTTTTCAGCATTCTTAGAAGACATCTTCATATAATAATGCAGGGGATCTGATGAGATAATGCACAACATGTTGATACTGTGCAAACACAAGACTCAGGATTATCAAAAGAAAAGCTGAGACTCTACTGTAGCACATTCTCTATTTTCTCTCCTGAATTTGTGCACACATCAGTTTTCCTGCTGTGACAGTTTGGATTGTTACAACAAATTTGCCTTTCACATGGCAAATTTTGGCCAAATTTGTGTAAGTCTTTAAAACGAATATTTAGATCGTAAGATTCACAAGGCAAAGAATGTCCATTACAGTATAAGAAGAAAATAGAAAGATTTAAATCAAGGTTGTTGGTAACTATCCCTAAGAGATGGAACATAGTAATTTTTACAATTTTTCTTTTGGTTCACTGATGCTTTTAATTTATTTAGAACGAATATGTGACAATTTTATAGTTTAAATGAGAGAAATAGATAAATAAACAGAATAAAATGCCATCTACCTAGGCTAGCAGAGTATTTCACACCTGGAGAACATTCTTTTGAGCTCCAAAGCAGGAAAGCACTTCAACAAAATTTCCTGTTCACTAATACTGCAAGACTTTATTAAAAATGTAACAGGATATTAAAAGGGGACTCGTTTTTATCTTTATTTCAATGGAGACCACCAAAAAGGTGAAAATCAAACAATAGAAGACAAAGGAGACTTGGAAAGGAGGTGTCAGAAAGCTACCTTCTCGACTTTCAGCTCCACACCATGTCAAGGGGATAAAAAGGGCATGTAGAAGATGCCAAGAAAGAAAATTGGGGGAATGTTTTTCACAACATTGTGATATTTTTCCTTTATTCTTCACTGGGAAAGAAACAGGATACTCGCCCCTTGTGGCAAGCTGGGAGAAGGAGTTTCAGGGGGACATTTGGGAATCCTGACATCAGTTTCCCAGAATGTGGAACCCACAGTGAAGATGTGTTGAACATACCCTGAAGGATTCACTACCAGGAAGAACCCAGAAGCAGCCCGGGTTCAGGAAGCAGGAGCCACACTTGAGACTCTAGAGAGGTCCAGCATGGCCAGTCAACCAAGGTGTTCCCTGTCCCCGACTTCTCTCTTCCCCAGTCAGAATCCAGACACAGGGCTAGAAAACAAGGTGCAACAAGTAAAGAGAGAAATCAAACTATAAGGCAAGCAAGATGTCAGACCATGTCCCTCCTTTACCACCACAGACTCCCAGCCCAAACTGTGGGAGCAGAGGGTTCAAATGAAGTTCAGAATTTGGATTGTGTTGGTGGACCTCAGAGTAATTACTAAAAAGAGACGATTCTAGTCACTAAAAGCAAATGGAAACATTTTGTTTTCTGAGAATGATGAGAACCCCAAGAGTTGAATCTCAAAATTCCCCCACAAAGGGGTGGGAGAAACCAACAGGCACAAAATGGTTGGTGATAGTGGTGTGGGGAGAGGAAAATAATATACTGTTACCCTATGGAGTTCTGCTTGTTCGTAGGACTAAACTCCCACGCCCATAATGTTGTTGTTCACTGCAGGAAGTCATGGGGTACATCAAAATTTACATGAAGCATATCTTCTTTACCAGAACCCATGGGAAGGAATTTGCCCAGGTCTGGTTCCAGCAATAGTTCTCCACAGCAAATTGATGTGTGATGGGCACCGTAAACCAAGGAACGGGTCCTGCTGCTTTTGCTTAGCTGCCAAGGACTCAGAATGAGGGGTGTACTGCATTTCTAACAAGTGAACCACTCTATAGTCACTGCAAGTACCAACCTCATTCCTGGCTTCATCTTACATTCCCACTCTTTTGCCCATGGTTTTATTTTGTCTTTGTGTGCAGTATTCATGTATGGAAGCCACTTCTTTCTTTAATATGACAGGACGACAAATACATGTGTCACATATGCCTGTCAACCTGGCTTGAAATAACTTAGGTTACAATTCATCTTGAATTATGAAGGTGCCAGGGTCCTGCATGGCCTTAAGAATATCAAGATTATTATTGTGCTGTACGTGTGATTAAGCAAATAGGGGTATCTAAATAATGGTAGATCCAATAACAAAATTTTCTCTTTGTCATCAGCCTGGGATAGAAGTGAGAGGAGGAGATTAATATTTTGAAATCACCTTCTTTCATTTTTAAATATTTCTCAGTAAATACTTATTTATGTATAAATCATTCCATTTTAAAGGAACAAACACTGTCTCTATCTCACAATAATATTTGTATGTTTAAGATTGTGTGTGTGTGCGTGTGCGCGTGCACGCACGCATGCACGCATGTGTGTTTAACCTCAACTGCTTAGAATGTGGACCAAGCAGGATTTCTAATTCAAAAGGCAGTTTGGGTTCAAATTATTGTCCAGTAATTCCAATGAGGAGTGAAAGAAAACATTTAATAAAAGTTGGGTGAAAGAAAATAGTAGAAGAGGAAATTGAACACATTTCTAGAAGATGGAAATTGGAGAGAAGCTACTGAAAGATAGGAATGAGGGAGCAGGGACCCAGAATTCACTGAAGAACGAAAAGTAGGGGGAAAGAAAAACCTGTTAACCTTAACTGCATAACCACAGTCAGACCCCAAGCTCAAGGCCAAGGTGGAGAGATGTGTTAGTCGGCTTTTCATCTCTGGGACCAAAATACCTGACAAGAGCAACTTAGAGGAGGAAAGGTTTATTTTTAGCTCACCGTTTCAGAGGTCTCAGTTCATGGTCAGTCTGAGCCTGGGGCAAGGCAGAACAGAACATCAAGGAAGGAGAGTGTGGCAGAGGGAAGCTGCTCATTTCATGGCAGCCAGAGGCAGGGAGAGCACAAGGAGTCAGGAACAAGATATAATCCCTGCGGGTACACCCCCAGTAACTAACTTTCTCTAGCCACACCCCACC